GTTGAAGGCAAAGGCGTATGTATATTCACCTGCAATTGATTGAATTAAATTTTAATATGAGATTTCTAAGATGAACATTATATATTTGCTATAGATACATTTAGGCCTAGGTGAATACATGGACGAGGTAACCCATGCTAATTTAATAGCTGACTCTACAAATCCAAGTATGTTTGTTGGGAATATTCTTCTAGCCGTTTTCAAGAAAAGTGTTTTTTATTAGTCAGTACACTAACTGGCCGTACGACCAACCGTAAAGGAAGCAAAGATAAGAAACAGCTACTTGCTAAAAATCGTGATCTCCATGGCGATGCCCAAGAGCTTGATGACGATGAGGATCTTGAAGAAATGAATAACAAGGAAAATGAAAATAATAAATTGGATGCAGGTAAGTGAAACCAATGACGAAATTAGTATCAATCTAATTTTTATAAATAAATCTAATGACATTATATCAAATTAATATTGGAAAATTGAATTCAATTGGTGAATACTATTACGCTTGTTTTCTTTATCTATTGTCGATAAAAAATTCCAAAATTGGATCATTGAAAATTATTGAAATGGAACTGTAATTCATATTGATCATTATTCGATTAAATAAGATTAAATAGTGTGCTATATTAGAAAATATTGAATGGCATAAACACGATTAAATGAAGAGTTATTAAGTTCGTTTTTATTGAAAATCTAAATTTATCAAAAAGCATAAGACTAGTACTAAATTTCCGTATTAATAGTTTTTAGGATTTAATTGTATTAAAAAAAGATCCAACTTTGATTAACGTCTTGATTAAGGATCAACAATTTTATTAGAAACGATTCAACATTGGTTCATTGTATTTTCCAATAAGTGATTAGAACTTATTGAAATAGATTATCAGGATCGAATATAATCCTAAATTGTCGTACTAATTGTGATTAGGATTCAATTATATTAAAAGAGATTGAACCTCAATTAACGTCTTGATTAGAGAACAATCATTACATTAAAAATGATTCAAGATTATTAAAATTCATCCTATTTTTCAATAAATGATTAGAAATTATTGAAATGGAATATCAGGATCGAATATATTAAAACTTATTGAATGGAATACATTCAATGCGAATATTTTTCATTGAAAAGTATTCGATATTATTGGATTCAATCCATTTGAATCCTAATTAATACAATCAATTTTGATCATTTTCAATCATTGTGCTTTAAAGTATAAGATCTCAATACATTTCAATCGACTTTTTAAGGATTCAGATATAGGATTAAAAATGATTAGTCTATTTTTAATCATTTTTAATCCTTTATTTTAGGATTACATTAAAATTTATTAAATGTGATACTTTTATTGCGTTCCATACGAGGAGGGGAACGGAGAAGAGAAAACACCGGACGTGGATTAACAAATATTTATTTAATATGTACAGGCAAAGCTAATTATACGCGAACAAACGGGAGCACAGACTCAGCCGCGTGCGTACTGTCGCTATCTTCGCCCCTCGGTCGGTCGTCGCGCAGATGCGCGACTCGAGTGCCTGTTTCCGCCGGCGAGGCTGGTGCTGCCGGCTAGCGGCCGATGGAGCAGTCGGTCGAGTCCCCACAGGTACTCCCCCCTTAGAGACTTCCGTGGGGCACGGAAGGACGCAAAAGGCACACCCTTTTGCGCAGGATGTTCGGCGTGGCTCGAGGCGGTGAAGAAACCTGTGGCTGCGTGCTGGAAGGTTCTCGTGGCCGAGCCGGAAACGGCGTCGGAAGCGCAAGTTCCTGCGCCTGGAGCTCTTCCCGCTGAGGCGCGGCGGCTGCTGGCGAAGGCGACGTCGAGAGCGCAGGTCCCTGCGGGCGAAGTTCGTCGTGCAGAGGCGGCGTCGAGGACGAAGGTGAATGGGACAGCGGCGATTGATGATGCGGTAGCGAATGGGACGGCGGCGTAAGTTGCTGCGATGGCGCAGGTGCTGGCGGGACGTCCCTCGGAGCCGGTTTCTGGGACTCTTGACTGTCGTCATCGAGGTAGGCGGGCTTCAGCGCGTCCGTGGATACCGCCTTTTCCTGTCCGTTTACCCTGATGATGTAGACTTTGTCGTCTACGCGGCGGCAGACCTCGTGAGGGCCCGAGTACGGTGGCTGCAGTGGCTTGCGCACCGCATCGATGCGCTGGAAAACGTGAGTGGAGCTATTCAGGTCCTTGTTGATGAAAGGACGGTACGTTGAGTGCCTGGATGCTGGCACTGCTCGCAGCTGACGCATCGTGTCCCTCAGCCGGGCGACGAAACCCGGTTGGCTCGCCGGAACGCTCTGCTTCACGAAGAATTCCCCCGGGAGGCGCAGGGTGGTCCCGAACAGAAGCTCTGCTGGTGATGCCTCGAGGTCCTCCTTGTAAGCTGAGCGGAGGCCCAGCAGGACTACGGGCAGACGATCGGGCCACGGTGTGGCCGTGTCGCACATCAAGGCGGCCTTCAAGGTGCGGTGGAAACGCTCGACCAGGCCGTTGCTTTGTGGATGGTACGGCGTTGTATGGATCCTTTTGAATTCGGTGAGCTGAGCCAGGGCCTTGAAGAGAGCAGACTCGAACTGCGTTCCCTGGTCCGAGGTGATCGTCAACGGGCATCCGAAATTCGCGATCCACTCTTTCAGAAAGGCGGCGGCGACGGTCTCGGCGGCGATATCCGGAAGCGGAACTGCGACAGGCCACCTGGTGAAGCGGTCGATGATCGTTAGGCAGTAGCGCAGCTCGCCGATGTGTGGCAGCGTGATGAGGTCGACGTGGACGTGCTCAAATCGATTGTCTGGAACGTCAAACGACTTGAGCGCAGCCCGGTTGTGCCGACCGACCTTGGCACGCTGGCAGACAAGGCAAGCGCGGGCCCAACGGGCGACGTTTCTTCGGGCGTGAGGCCAAATGAATTTAGCCGTCAGAAGCCGTGCGGTTGCTCTCAGACTCGGATGAGCTGGCGAGTGCAGGACGTCGAATGCCTTGCGGCGCAGCGTGTGCGGGAGATAAGGCCTGACCACACCGTCGTGGACGTTGCAGGCGATGCTGACGCCATCGATCTCCAGCTGCTGCAAGGTAAGAAGGCCCTTGTCGCGAAGATGTCACAACTCTTCGTCTGTCTCCTGGGCCGCTGCGATGTCGCGCGCCAGAAGTGCAGATGGCATGCCGATGGTGCACGCTCGGGAGAATGTGTCCGCGACGACGTTGTCCGTGCCCTTGATGTGACGAAGGATCACGTTCTGCTGTAACAGGTAGTCCAGGTGCCTCTGCTGTCGAGGGGTAGCCTTGGCTGCCGGCTGATTGGCGGCGTAGATGAGTGGCTTATGGTCCGTGCGTAGCTCGAAGGTACGTCCCTCCAGGAAGCGCTGGAAGAATTTTACAGCCGCGTACGCTGCAAGGAGCTCCCTGTCGTAGGTGCTGTAGCGTCTCTCGGTGTCCGTGAGCTTCCTGGAAAAGAATCCCACTGGATACTGTTTACATCGATGGACTGTTCCAGGACGGCACCGAGAGCCGTGTCGGAGGCATCCGTATAGAGTATGAGCTGTGAGTCGGGGGCAAGGAACGAGTTCGTCGTTGCCTTGCGTAAAGCTTCCTTGCAGGCGAGGAAAGCTTGCTCGTGTTCCTCGGTCCAGGGTGGAAGCTTGGCCTTCTTGCGCTTCGGAGCTCCGCGAAGAAGGTTCAAAGGCACTTGGATGTGCGCGGCCTTTGGAATACAGCGTCGATAGTAGTCGACCGTTCCCAGGAAGCTGCGCAGCTCTTGGTTGTTCGTCGGCCTCGGAATTCTCTCGATGGCGTCGATCTTCCGAAGTGGTGGCCTGTAGCCGTGTCGCGAGAACTGGTAGCCCAAGAAATCCACCGAATCCTGGCCGATCTGGCACTTCTTAAGGTTGACGGTGAGGCCAGCGTCACGCAGTGCCTGGAACACGATACGCAGGTGCTGCAGGTGTTCCCGATGGTCCTTGGAGCGGATGATGGCATCGTCCAAATACCAACGGACAAACGGCATGTCACGGAAGAGCGAGTTCAAGAAACGCTGCAGCGTTTTCGGGGCGTTTCGGAGACCCAGTGGCATCATCATGAACTCTACGAGGCCGAATGGTGTTGTAACGGCTGTCTTGGCGATGTCCTCCTGCGCCATTGGGATCTGGTAAAATGCTTTTTCCAGATCGATCACCGAGAACACGACGCCGCCGTGGCAATCGTGGAGTAGGTCTTCGATGATCGGGAGCGGGTAGCGGTCTACCTCGGTGACAGCGTTGAGGCCTCGGTAGTCGCCGGTGACGCGGTAGACACCGGGGCTCTTCAGCACCAGGTTGAGCGGGCTGGCCCACTGGCTCAAGGAAGGCCTGACGATGCCTCGGTCGGTCAGCTCCTTGATGGCGTCCTTGGCGCCCTTGAGGCGCTCGCTATGCAACGGGCGTGGGCAGTCGAAGACAGGAGGTCCGCTGGTGACGATGCGGTGTCGAACAACCGCTCCGTCGATGTTGGCACGCCGGGAGTTCGGCTTCATGAGGTGGGCGAACTCAACCAGCAGCTCGTCGTACTGGCGGCGAGCATCCAGGTCGCCTCCAGGGTCGTGTAGGATGGCCACCGAGTGCTCCACCGCTGCGAGCTGCAGTCCCTGCGAGCGGAGGCCGGTCGTCGAGTCGACAAGGCGCATGTTCTGCAGGTCCGGGAGTAGCCCAGCGTGGCCCAGAAAGTCGGCACCGATGATGGCGCTGTGGATGTCAGCGATAACGAAGGGCCAGGTGTACTCCCTGCGCAGCCCGAGGTTGAGCGCGAGCACGACGCGACCGTAGGTAGCGATGGGTGACATGTTCGCCGCGGTAAGGCTAAGCTCCTGCTTAGCCAGGCGTCCGGCTGTCGGTCCCGGCACTGCCGAACGGGGCAGCAGGGAGACGACGGAGCCGGAATCGACGAGGAAGGTCAGGCCTGAATTCCTGTCCTTTACATGCAGGCGATTTTCCGTGGCTGTGGCGCTGCCGTGAAACGCCTGAACGGACGGCAGCGTCATTAGTTTTTTGGCGCCGAGCTGGCGACGAAAGTGCAGGGCTGACGGCAGTGCTCTGCTGAAGCACCGAAACGATAGTGGTAGTAGCAGTGGCCGTTGGGTGCTGGTGAGGCCGAGCGGCTTCCTGAGCCACGGCTTCGGCTGCGGTCACGTCCGGACTGCTGCGAACCAGGACGCGAGAACTGCGTCAAGGCGGTGACAGCCTCGAGGATCAGCTTCGTGGCTGACAGCAGCTGTGCCATCCCGGCACGCAGATCAGCGATGTCCCCACTGATGGAAGAGCCGGTGGAGGCAGTGCGAGCCGGCGATGTGCCACGTGAGCCCTGCCTCACTGCTGACACGGAGGCGCCTGGCAGCTTGTAAAGCTCGTCTGCGGCTTCAGCTAGCTCCTGAAGCGAGGCGTTGCGCATGACGCAGAGAACCTGCTGCGACATGGGCGGCAGCACGTCGAGCCAGCGAACCTTCAGCCCAGCGTCGTCGATACTGGTGCCTGCGAGACGCCTCATCTCGTGGAGGATGCTCGACGGCTTGCGTCTGGATGCCGCTGTACAGTGTGCGAAGCCGCTGCTCGGCGGACAGGCCAAAACGCGCTAAAACTTGCGCCTTCAGGCGCTCGTACTTGCCTTCGGCCGGTGGGTCCTGCAGCACGTCCAGAAGGTCCCTCGTCATAGCAGCGTCCAGAGCGGTCACGATGAGGTTGTAGCGCATCTCATCAGCGGTGACGCCATGGCATGCCATCATGGACTCGGCGTGCGCGAACCAGCCCTCCAGCGATTCCTTCCAGACGGGGGGAAGCTTGCAGGAGCGTGCAGGTCCTACATTTTGCATGGCCAATTGCTGCTGTAGCCGAGTGAGCTCCTGCCCTTGAGTTTCCAGGGCGGCAGCGAGGTCGGCGACAGGAACTTGGTTCTGATTGTCGCCGTTATCCCCCATCACGATACTGGCCTTTTTCGTCTCTTGAGACACACACTCGCGAACCCTACGTTTTCTCGTTGATTCGGGTTCCGGTGGCAGCGGAGGCCCGAAGTCCCGTGCGAAAGAGCGCGTGTAGGGTCGCGCCGTGAGCACTGGCTTTCGCGATGGCCCTGAAGTCGACTGGGCCCTGTTCGTTACCTTCCGCGGCGGCACCGAAAGAGATCGCGAAGAGCTGGTCGCGAGTCTGTGTGGCGGCAGGGAAAACTGCGAGTCATTCGCGGATTTTCTCGACGGCGCCAAAGGTGCAACAGGTGCCGGTATGCGCGAAGGCAAGTCCTGCAATGGCGGCGGCGTGGGTTTCGAGCCGGCCACGATGTCACTTACGAATCCGTCCGGATCACGTCGGGGTCACCACTATTGCGTTCCATACGAGGAGGGGAACGGAGAAGAGAAAACACCGGACGTGGAGTAACAAATATTTATTTAATATGTACAGGCAAAGCTAATTACACGCGAACAAACGGGAGCACAGACTCAGCCGCGTGCGTACTGTCGCTATCTTCGCCCCTCGGTCGGTCGTCGCGCAGATGCGCGACTCGAGCGCCTGTTTCCGCCGGCGAGGCTGGTGCTGCCGGCTAGCGGCCGATGGAGCAGTCGGTCGAGTCCCCACACTTTCAATGCAAATATTTGTCATTAAAAAGTATTCGATATTATTCAATTTAATACATTTGAATCCTAATTAATCCAATCAATATTAATCAGTTTCAATCCTTTGGTTTTGTAATGTAAGATCTCGATGCAATTCAATCGACTTTTTAAGGATTCAGATATAGGATTAAAAATGATTGGTCAATTTTTAATCATTTTTAATCCTACATTTTTAGCAGGGTTTTTTCATGCTGAGTTTTTCTCTGAGGTCCGTACTCGATCTCTGCGAAAATTCTATGGGTACGTTCGACTATAGACTATAGTCCGACCATTCATCCGCCATCCGTTTGACACGTATGATGACCGTTGAGTGACCGCAGCACTCGCAGCAGCAAAAGCTACCTCCGCACGGAAAGCCTGTGCCATTATAAATAGTAGGGACGAAATCAGCGCGCCACCTATGATCGCATATGCACCACTCTCACGAGAACATACCGTCACCTACTTTTTACGTGACAGTCAGTCACTTCCGGATAAGGTGGCAAGCCATGTGTTTTTTTCAGTCATGGCGCTAAGAGGTTAGGTACTGCCCGCCAATTCGCTAGATTTACCGCGTATATTTCTCTGCATGTGATAAAATATTTTTGCATCTCTTGTGAGCGAAAGTCAGATTTTGGCAGCGTTCAGAGTTCTATTTAGCATTTGGGTTATATGGATTGTTGTTGATAAATGTGTCATAATGTGTGAAGTGCTGATATAAATAAGAATTGGCGACATATAAAGATGGGTGATAAATACGTCGAAGATCTTCTAAAACTGTGGGGATATCCTCAATTAGCCAGATCATTTGCTTGTAAGTAAACGTAGTAGAATTTATTTTTTTTATCTTGACTTTTTGTGTGAAAGTAGTAAAAGACATTCCCATAATATTATTTCAGATTATGGTTACAATCAAGAAAAATTCTTAAATTTGACAGAAGAAAATATTGATAAAATAATAGATAGTAAATCAGAATTGAATCAAGCATTCAAAAAAAAATTTTATCTTGCATTTATTGCTCCAGTAGTAAATGAAGTTAGTTTAGATATTAATTCAAAATCTCAATTGCTTGACGAAAAACAAAGAACTGTGGCAGATAGTAGTTATAACAATCAGTCTATTGCTGCAGATGCCAAATTTATATCTAACCTTATAACGAATCGTTTGTATCTTCGTTATGTCTCTCTCTCTCCAAGAAGCCAGTAACTAATATATTTAATAATCATTATAAATTACCTTATTGTTTGAATAGTTACAGCATTACGGACGTCAGCGAACTGGTAAGCGACGCGACTTGCGTACGATAATCGATATCGACTCGCGGCGCGGACCTCGCGGAGAGACGCTTCCTTGCGAGGAGGGAGAGAGAGTTTCGAATATTGATATAGTCCGTTTTCGGCGATCGACGGGTTAACGTCCCTCGCGCGAGTCGTCAGGAGTATCCTTCAATTTCCTTCTGGCGAGCCGAGGCCTACCGCGGACATTCAGCCTACGTACGCTGCCTACACGATAAGAGAGGCGTTGTTGAGAGTCAGCCGACCAGCGGAAGCGAGTGCGCGGCAGAAGCGAGCCCGCTATTGTGTGCCCTCGGTTTGCGGATTAGAGTAGGCGTACAAGCGACCATACTGTAAGTACCAGATCTAGTACCTGGCTTCTCTCTCTATACCGCTCTCTCCCTTTTTGCGTTGACTAAGCCGCGCGTTTACGCTCGCCTTTTCTTTTGTCGCTTCCACGTTCGAACGGTGCGCGCCGGTTCGCTGTCGCCATTGTGCACAGCTCACAACAGAGCGAGTGCTTGCGCGACCTTAACCGCGTAGCGCGTGCGCAGTTCCGTTCGCTTCACTGTTAAACTATTGCGAGTTCGTTGCGTTGCGATTAATATTGTTTATATCGACGCGTTTCGATACTATGTATTCCTTTGTTGCTAATTAAAATTTATACGCCTTTACTTTTAATTATATTTGAGTGCTTATTGTCCGCCGACTCCCTGTTCCTTGAATTGCAATTGTGTATGCGACTGTACACGCGCGAATCTCTCTCTTTGGACGTCGCGCATCTTCACGCGTAGCCTACGACACTCTCCGCGGGCCAAGCTTTCTGACCGAAAAGGAGGCAACTGAGCTGCTGGACCCAGGACATCCGGTGCAGGAGCACCGTGCTGCTCTGGAGAGCAACCTAATTTATTTCCCGATTTTCGACTTATAAATTATATAACTGTTCCTGTCCAGGCGAAGCTGAGCAGAAACCCCGTTATAACCTTGAAAGTGATTTTGATAATATCAATTTAGATAATCCCTTTGATTCGAATAATTCATTTCAAAACGATAGTAACTATTGTATTTCATCAAAAGAATGTGATAAGAAAGAATCATCCAAGATGACAATCAAAGACTAGTTTGATATGTATTGTGGATCTTATTCTGATTGTAATTATCAATCTATTTCATTATTTTATTTTAATTATTCAAAAATAATTACAAGTTTAAAGACAATGAATGTATATTGTGATTGTAATGGCATCTTGTTTTTAGTGATAAAACAGAAACCACTGTATAAATTACTTATGTCCACTTTAAATGGACGAATGATTTTATATTATTATGCCAAGTACAAAGAAATTGATGAATTGATGGAAGATTTATCATGCATTATAATTCAAGATGAAATGATGAAATTATTAGATGCTAATGATACTACACCTTATACGTAAGAAAAAAATTCTGAACAATTTACATATAGGCCAGTTAGTTATAGTATGGAAAACAATTTTCAAAACATAAATAATTTTTTTTTTGCTGTTAAAACATAAATAATCATTTGTGAAAAATTTAAATTACTACTGTTTGCACAAAAAGTCGAAAAAAAATACAACAACTGCATTTTTACAATTATTTTGTATAGTAATAATGTGAATTCTTACATTATTTTTACATGTGTTACAGTCTCTCTAGTAGTGGATACATTGATATAACAGAGCAAATCTTGGAAATTTTCCCAGATGAAAAGCATAATATTGAATTGTACTATCGCCCTTATGAAAAATTTGAAATCTCTGGTAAAGTAAAAAAAAAGAATACTTCTGGAACTCTTCACAAGGCTCGTGATTATTATAAAAATAAATTTAACACACTGGGAATTGCTACTATAAAGCTGTCAGCAGCTGAAACTGAAAAAGTAACACCAGGTATGAATATTATTTTATATACTTATATACACCTTATATCTATTAGATTATGGATTATACTGATATCTACAAATAATTTTCAGCTCAGTCATCAGCAATAAGGGTAGATACGAGTTTATTAAACTCAAAAGAATATTTGAATAAAGAGGAAATATTGCAAACATGGTCTAATTCATATCACCTGCGATTCCAAGATTATGCCAATCAAAGTATAGCACAAATTCTTTCTCATTATCAAATACTGTTGAGCGATCTCGGTCCTGAACTGGTAATAATTTATTTCATAAATATATAAGAAAAAACACAATAACAAATATTAAAGGACTAAAACTAATTGCTATTTATAATTTACAGATTTTATCAGATTTCGAACAAAAATTTGATAAGGATCGTTCAAATAGTTTGATAAACGAATGGCCATCTTTTGCTTTAAAAACTATAAACGTTTTGAAAAAGTTATTGAGTGAGCCTAGTGATGAACCTGAAGCTAAAAAATTAAAACTGTCACTAAAAAAAACGAAGACTAAACTGTTTATCACAAAAAAAAATTTTGATCAAAATAATAAATTAGTATTGCCTTTCGTTGAGAATAGTACTAGTTATTCGCAATCTCAACAAGCCAAACAATTTGAACACTCACAGCCAGGAGAAGATAATGAATTAGAGCACTCACTATTAAGAGAAGATGAAGAATTAAAGCGAATTGACACTGACTACTTGAATACGGAAGAAGTATTAATGAAAAATAACGAAGCACTTTCCAATCAAAGTAAGAGCAATGAATTTAGTACATACATCAAAATATCTATGTTCATTTGATAAAACTATCAGTTTATTTTTCATTGTAGATTACATCAGTGCATTAGCTTTTCTCTTATTGCCATCTGCAATACCTCATAAATATGTAAAAAAAGAAGGCGATTGGAAAATATCTGCATTGGATAGCGTTCACTCATTCGTAGAACACGTTGAGGTATATATAATCGATTTTATAATTCGGTACAAGTTGGACTTGTGAATATTTATGATTATACGTTGTAATTATTGACAGGTTCCAAAAAATTACGCACAATTGGAAGATTTTATTAACAAGAAATATGAGTATTATTCTGAGCGCACTGACAAGCCACAGCCTTACATTATTTT